AAACAGGGATATCCAATTCTCTTTAATAAAGGTCAATATATTGAGAAGAACTTGGTGAACATTAGTTTAGGCACATGTCTTTGTTTCTTTGTTTTTTAAGATAGCTTTAATGTTACAAAGGTCCTGATCAGGTTTGAATCAATCGGATTCAAGGGGGGCCTTAGGGGGCTATGTCAAGGCATTTCACTTTTTGACAGTAGATACAGGTACGTGTACAGGATGAAAGAAACTCCTTCAGTATTTTTTCTAAAGAGACTTTAGATTCGTGAGGTCAAATGAAGTTCAAGTAACCCTATTGCAAAGATGTTTCCCTTTTCATCAAGAAAAACAACTTCACTCCTCCTAAATTTAATTTATTTTTCAGCCCACGGCACAAATGTGAGATTGCTTTAAATTATTCTCAATGTTGTACTGCCTGGATAGTAAAAACTATAATAACAAAAAAGAGTTGAATAAATAATAATAATAATAATAATTGGATAAAGATGTATGTTTCATATTGCCCTGCTGTATGTATTGAGAAAGTGTTTTCTCTATCTCTCTTTCTAGACAATAGTTCGGCTCCAGAGCTACACAGAGCCGCAGGCCAGCATTTAATTGAGCTCTTAACCCCTTCACAACCTTTCAAAAAAGAAACAATAGACAGATACAGATACAGCAAAGAAGGGGGCAGTGCACAGATTAAAATTATTTGTACAATGTGTACGCTGTGTGTGTGTGTAAAGACCACAGTGTTAAGATTTATCCATTGTTAAAACTGAATGAGTTCACTCCTCACTGCAGGTTGCCACGACAACACAGTCGTGACATACCTGTGCTCCCCCGCCTGGCGGACGACGAGAAGTAATCGCCTGAGAGACAGAGATACATCACTATGTAGACATGGAGGGGTTTAAAAGACAACGTGTAGAAGGAAACTGCTGCTGCTGATTTACTACCTAACATTTGGGCATGTTGTATTCAGTTTGGTATACGTGTATTCTTCATTTATTAGAAAAAGGCTCATACTGTAGTATTGTAGTTTTTAGTCATCCTGTTGGCATAGTGTTTGTGATTTTGGTCCAGGCTATAATGTTTGAATATATCTGAACAACTATTGGATGGATTGCCATTAAACTTAGTACTTACTTTCATTTCCCCCTCAGAATGAATTCTAATAACTTTGATGATAATTTCACTTCTTTATGATTTTAATTTGTCCAATACTTTATTTATTTATTTGGTTTATCAGCAAATGCCCAACTCATGACATTCCCATCAGCATCAGTTTGACTTGTACTACATCTGAACTCTTCCCTGTGTGGGATCAATACATTGTTCTTATTCATGGCTTAAAATAAAGGTAGAATAGCCTTATTTATATATTTAGTAAAACAAATGAACATATAATCACCTTTTGAACTAATGTGGCACGTTTGGTCAATGTTAACATTTTCAGTGACTGCAGAACAGCAAGTTAAGAAACACATTGCACTCCAATCCCTCTGCAAATCTATATTTACTGTGTTCAAACATTGCTAAGGTTGAATAAATTACTGTTTATAACCTCCTGAAATCTGAATTCAGAGACTGCAGATGATGGGATCCTCCTCAGCATACAGGGAGCACAAAGAGCACAAAGAGGTAGAAAGGGTCATGACAACATCATTTCGCCTTTGAAGAAAGGTTGCGCTTTCCACCTTCGAGGCGTTTTCTCTTTATCACCACTGCCCAGATGTGACATCTGTAAATCCACCAAGCAATACACTGCAGGAGGAGAGCTGTGTCTGGCATGTAGGCAGAACATACAGCAGCATGCACAGCCCCCCCAGGGTGCAATGAAGAATTGACTGAGGTGTAATGGCTGCAATACGTGTAGTATTGTGTTTATCGAACTCATAAGAGGGCTAAGTGTGTTTGTTTGAGCTGGTGAGACCTCTTGTCTGAGGAACAACATGTTTTTTTGTAGCCCGACACACAAAAGATTATTTTGATGTAACAGGAGCAGGAACCATGACCCTGAACAAGAAAGATCAGGACTAAAGCTAATGCATGCAACAAAAAAAGGAATAATTCATCCGAGCTGAAGCAGCCTGTGAGAGGACAGTCGGATCAGGTTAAAACCCATCTGAAGAGCTCTGCTCGTTGTATTTTTTACTGTACGAGACATTAAAATGCCACACATCTTACTCTTGACACACAGTACATAGACTTTTTGTTTACAAGACACTTAAGGTCCACTGTATGGGCGCTCCAGAGGCTTATGTTGCTCCGCTGGCCCTGTCCTGTTGGCTTTGACTGAGCCTTATCAATGCTGTGTGGCAGACAGGCGTATCTCCAATAGTCCAGGGAGCGATGAGGGTGGCGAGGTGGGAAGTAAAAGAGAGAGGGAGTCTAAAGACTTAGACATGTGACTCACAGGGGTCTGAAGCAGAATACAGATGCAGAAACAAGCCGTTGGGTAGGCCATAGGCAGATCCCTCATCAACCACCTCCAGATGCAACATATAGTCCATCCTCACAAATGACTCGTGCATAAATCTCTGATCTCATCCTCATGGAAATCATTAGACGGAAGAATGAGAGACTGGGGAGGTAGTAAACTGCTCCGGGCTAACCTGAAGGGAGCCTTCACATAGCATCTGCCATTGGATGCTGCATGCCTAGCTTAGGGAAATACGAGAGAGGTGAACAAACAAAGCCTCTTTAGGCATTTTCCTCAAAGTCTGAGAAAAGCCCAGAGGGGTTGAGATTTCTCACAGGGCCTGGGGAAAGAGTACAAGTGGATCATGGGTAGATACAGCTGATGAAGGTAAGGGAAACATTTGTAAAGATCTAATTAAAAGTCAAGTGAAGCTAACATACATTTTTTTTCTTAATGAGATGCCGTTTGTTCTTATTTCTTCGCTTTTCTGTCCTATAGCGACTATGACTGGTAATAATATCTGCTCCTACAGTACACACGTAAGGAAACCTCCACTACCTTATTGGACTCATGGAAACACTTTGAAATGTTTTGACGAATTGACAAAGTTGAACTTGTGGATGCAACATCATCAGTCAGTCAGCAGGGATCTTTGAATGTTTAGCGCACAATGTACACTTGTAATAATAATACTCCTTTTGGGCATTACCATTTGGATTGTATTTCCATTTGACAGTGAGATTTGGCACAAATGAACAAGTTCAGCAAATAACCTCATAAAGAGGAAATTAACAATCTAAAAAAATGTAAGAATAATGGCTATTACAGCAATCGGCTGTAATCGAAAACTTGAAGCAGAAAATGGAAAATACGACTCCCCCCAAAGTTCTAATTATTACACAAGGGTAACAAGGGTAACATCTAAATATAGCAAATGTCATAAAAACTGACTTTTATGAAGCTTATTTTCTCTTAAATGTGGCCTTCTTACCTGTGCTTCTCAAATGTTACACTCTGCTTTGTGCTGTTTTGTAGGTACGAGATTATCTCAATTTACGTAGTTGACATCAATCTAATTCAACTCGAGTAAAGACTTGTTCATTGTAATATACCGTATGAATGTCATTTAAGTGTTTGGCTGTGTATGCCAAAGTATTTATTTGTAGTTTTGGTTGTATCACCAGAAAACCTGCAATAAATCATGCTAAGAATGTACTTCATGGCAGTACAGTAGCAAAGCTTAGGACACCTGATTTTACTTGAAGTAGTGCTACAAACTTACATATCGTGGAAACACTAAAGTGCTGAAGAAGATAGCAATCATTTTAAATTGTTTTCACCCCCAGATTAATTAAAGCTCTTCCTAGTGCACAGAAAGTTTGACACTCACTTAAAGACCTAAACTTTCCCTCTGGACAGCACCTTATTCGAAGTGCTGTTTGCTTTAATTATGTAACAGGAAGCAGAGATCATCTCCTCAGAAGTTAATGGTTCCTCGCTTGCTGCAGGTGAAAGTAATTAACTTCTCGATGTTATGATCATGTTATGCTGACATGCAGATTGTAAAGACACCACATGTAAGACTTCATGATGTACTCACTGATATATATGAACTTATCAACTCATCAGGTAAAATGCAGCACTATGGATTTACCCTTCTCTTTATCTATACAAGGTTAAGGGTTTCTTTTAATGAGAACAACTTGCTCTCTCGTGATGCGCTTGTTCATCCATAATTGCCTCTCTGTGGTATCATACTGCCCAGAGAACGAATATAAGAGTTAATTGAGGGCTGTGAAAACATTAGCCGCCTCATTATTCTCCTGCCAATAAAATCACAATGATAGCTGAATCCACTGACCAACAAAACAAAAGAACAACGCAGATTTCCTTCAACTAAAGCAAACAGTCTTCAGCCGACTCTCTTAATCTGCTGCAGAGATTACAGTGACAAAAAGCTCCAACACGTTGCACAGCATGTATTCACATTCTCCAAACATACTGCACTGTTGAACAGCAGTCTACACAACGCTTTTGTGGAAGCACTCAGACTATGCAACACATGGACAGCCACTCACAACAATCATTATCTCCAGACTGTAAGTGTGGCAAAGAAACTACACACACTTATCTCAGAGCAGCTAATAAAACCAGGCATGCACTTCTCCTCTCTAGCGCCTTACCGTTGATATGCTTTTCGCCTCATTGTCAGAAGATAAAATCACAATGTTCACATGTGCCTTTGCGTCCCCTCAGAGCGGCATGCATTTAGGAAAGCCTCCTCTAATTCTGACTGAGACGGGCTGGTAGGCAGAGAGAGAGAGAGAGATAGAGAGAGAGAGAGAGAGAGAGAGAGAGAGAGAGAGAGAGAGAGAGAGAGAGAGAGAGAGAGAGAGAGAGAGAGAGGGGGGGGGGGGGAGGCTGAGCATTGAATGGAGCAGAAGGAGGTGTTTGGAAAGAGGAGGGGTTTTAGGAGTGATGGAGAGAAGAAGAAGAAGAAGAAGAAGAAGAAGAAGAAGAAGAAGAAGAAGGAAAGAGAGGTGTGGTGGTGGTGTCACTACCGGGAGGAGAGGGGGTCAAAGTGAAAGTGGCTAACCTCGTGTCACGCTGCATCTCTCCATCAGATTCCTGTTGGGAAGACAAGAAGAGAGGGGTACAATGATTAGATTTATTTATCAAGCAGATTCATCTGGCGCCGCGGCTGTCACTGCCTGCTGTGGAGTGCCTCTTATCTGATGTTTAACGAGATCTCAGAGCAGCCAAACAAATATCTGTTATTTCTCACTCTCTCCCATAAATATATATATCAGCATTGAGAGCATTAAGTGACAGAGGGAGGAGGGAGAGAGCCCGAGCCAGAAATGACAGATTAAAAGCGCAACGGAAAAATGCTGTGTGTTGCAGAAATGAAAAGAAAGTGCCCGAGGGTGAGAGGCAGACTTACATACTGAAGAACACAACAGATGAATGATAGGACATATACAGTTCTAGCAGGAAAAGCTAAACAAAATAGAACAATTTGAAGTTTGAGAGTCAATTTAAAAGAATAGTTGAATACACTTTAAAAAATACACTTTTGGCTTTGTTCTTAAAAGAAGAAAAAAACAATAACAAGGAAAATGTATATCACCAAACACAAATGTCTCCCTTTAACACATAAACATTTGAAATGTCATACAAGATAGAGGTGAGACCCCACTCCGTTACGCTTAAATCACATTTGTACTACCTCATATCGAGATGGATGTGAAAGCAGTTTGTTGTTTGCACACATTTGTTTGTTGCACATGAATTATGCATGACATGGATTTCAGAAGACCATCTACCGTTTACATGTTTGCTTAATTCTTTGGTGCAGAACCAATCAGTCAATGCTCCCCTGGATCAGAGTTGATATGGCAGAACATATACTGTATGTGCAGGCAAGGTCCAAAACAAAACAAAACAAAGGAAAATCAACATGTCACCTGGAACCCTGGTGATAACGCTCACTCTGATTCATGCTCATGACCATGAACCTTTTAGAGCTCAGGATGCCGTTAGTGAGGGTTGTTTGTGCTGCAGCAGGTGCTTGTGTTGCATGCAGTTGCAGCCAGGCTCAGGATTTATAGTCTGTGTTCAGTGAGCTGTAATGAATGTGTCAGGTACACAGCTTCAATACACAGGTTGTGAGAGAACAGTGTGTGTTTGTTTGCATGTGTGTGTGTGTCTAGATGTGATGTGGGTGTTACAAACAGTGTGAGTGATACAGCAGGATGACTCATACAGCTACTGAATGAGACAACGCTCGGTAATCCCCTCTGTCCATCCCTCCATCCCAGCATGCCTCTGTGCAGGGAGGGCAAGCCCAGAGAGAGAGAGAGAGAGAGAGAGAGAGAGGGAGGAGGAGGAGGGGGGGGGGGGGGTCGGCATTCCTGGAAGGCGTCATTAAATGATAATCTGCAGCTAGTATGGATGTACATTCTTTAGGGGAAAAATGTTAAATGTTAGCCCTTATTATGCTGTCGTTAAATTACAAGTATCAGTGAAAACAATTTGAACCAACCACCAAATTATGATTATAGTTAATTTACATCCGCAAAGGTTGTGAAGACTGCAATTAACATGATTCTATTCTCAAATACGACACTGTGCACAGTTTTAAATGTTACAGAGCAACACAAATCCTTGTTTTTGCTGACCTGCAGTGGTTAAACTTTCCAGCGTGCTGTAGTGATATAAAAGTGTTCTCAAGAGTGAGTCACCATTAGTACACCATGACTGATGGCTGTTCTTACAGGTGCAATACCTCTGAAAAAACACAACAGGGGTTTGTTCAACCAGAGCAGACAACACAGTTTGTTTCGAACGGCTATTAAGTAAGTCCTTGCAGTTACATTTCCTAAGATTGTTATTATACTATATCCCAGCTTTGACACTATTATTGGCCAACAATTATTTTTGATACAGCCTTTCAATGTGCTTGTATTATGTAATTATCTATAGTCATTCAATAGTTCATTGTGACAAGCTGGGTTCCCTCTTTCTGCATTGACAAAAAAGCATGGAAAACATGCCTGCAATTTCTGTGCTGGTTGTAATGCAAAACCAATAAGCTGTTGCAAGAGCACATTTAGCAGGAGACAACATTCATTCATGAGTTTAACATTGTTGATGTTCAAACAACATGATGCAATGAATCCTCTAAGCCCTCTGCTTCACAATGATTGGGTCTTTAATCTTATTTATATCTTCACATTTCAGTGCAGGGTACAAATCTGGTAACAGTTGATACAATTGTTGTGTACTTCAATGTTACCATTTATTATACTCTAGTATGTGTTTTTGTAATACTTCACCACATACTGCAGAGTAATAGTACAACAGTGTTGCAAGGTGTTAGCAGCTACGTAGTACCAAGTGGCATTTCCAAGCCAGAGGCTCAAGGCACCTAAAAATATGGAGGAAAGTGTTTAAATTATTCATGTATTAGCTACCTTCACACAGGCTGCCAAGCAGGATAGTAAAATGGGTTTGAAACCCAGGCTATCTTTTTCTCTTTTACTCTAGGCTCTGAGTAAATAAGCAGTAAATAAGGGTGGATATATTTTTAATATTACATGCCAAGGGGAACCAAACTTTCCCTTTGCTATCTCTGTTGGATGTTTGGGGGGCAGAGAGATGCTAATCCATTTAAATGAGAAATAATATAGACCTTTTTCTGTAGCCATCCTTCGAGAACACCCTGGCTATGTAAATGTACATTTTTAATTCAAACTGCAGGTCATGCTTTCATTTCCAGACTGTGTACGAAAAGAGTGAATGAGGATATGTTTTTTACATGTACTACATTTCTGTTCATGTACAGCACAACATAAATCACATTTCTTATTCACCTCACATTAATGAATAATCATGTTTTACAAATTTTGTTTTGTATGGCAAGTGTGTGATGTGTCAGACCCAATTAAGCAAAACACCAAACATAAATGATTAAAATCTAAGTCTGGATGAGTAATATTCAGCTATCAAGGAGGAATGTGATGCAATACAGTAAATCAAAGCCTTGAATAAAGATTGAGTTAAATCATCAGAGGCTTGTGTAATGTTATTCATTTGGCTCCTCAGTTCCAGTGATCTCTGCTACTCTTACTGCGTGGTGATGAAACACAGTGTATGTTGCTCTCTGGTATGTTTTTTTGAATGATCATAGCTATTGTCCTTAATGTATAATTGTATCAGCAGTCCTCTTCTTGAAACCAATGGTGATCTAGACCAGCTTCTTACCTGAGTTAGACATACACTTACTTACAATAAGTTCAATCTTATTATCACTTTCAACAACACAAGAAATTATGATACATTCTTAGTTTACGCCATCTTGGGTCACAGGGTCCAAAAAGCATGTTTCAGACTTACTTGGCCACATTTCCCGGTATCAGGCAGAAAGAAGCAGCTGGCAGTATCATATATATCAATAGAAATGATAGCAGATGGTAGTTTGCACCTTTCCATTGCCAAGAGAAGTGTTAAAAGAAATACATCAGGAAGCAAAAACAGCTTGGTCAAACACAAACAAATATCCACAGGAACGATATTCTACCAAACAGAAATTGGTGCCAGGGTGTTCTGCATCCCAGTTTCCTTAGAAACAACATTCATATTGTACAACTTTTATTTTGTACAAGAATGTAGCACAGTTTTCATGCAGGAGATTTAAGTTTGTGACCTTCTAAAGATCAGTTTTCATAATATATTATATGTTATTTCCAAGATTGTAACCATGAGAAGAAATCTTGCTGTCAAACGTGTGCTCGAAATTGTTTTCCATTTAACGTCAATTGCATTGGAAATACGTCCTGGAAAACAAAAAAGATATGTTTTTTGAAAAAGGGGGAATCTTATCATGAATGTATTGGTACTCACAGTGATATTAGTAGGTCTGGGCAGTGAGGTAGTTCTGTAGGACATTCTGGGAAAGCCCTCTGGCCAGCTGAACACAGGGCAGGGGATACTCCGTCCACTGGAAGTTGATGGAGGGTGAGGGAGCTCATAACTGGGAAACACCATGTTCTTCTCTTTCTCCTTCCCTCTTCCCATCCTTCTGTCTTTCTCCCAGTAAGGCCTCTCTCCATCGTTATCCTTTCCCGTCCCTTTGTCTATTCCTCTGTCCCTCCCCCAGGGGTTTTCTTTTCTCTTTTCCCTCTCTTTCCCTCTCTCCATCCCCGATCCCCCATTTAATTCCCATGTAATCCTGTTTTCCCTCTCCTTCCCTTTCTCCATAACCTTCTCCGGGGTTTTAACGTTCCTTTCATTCCCGAGAGGGCCATTGGCTGCCAGTTCATCAAGTCGCCTCACACTGTCAATGTCTGTCTCTAGATAAAGTCTCCCAGTGGAGGGCTGTGCCTGAATTTTTGTACATAGCTCCAGGTTGAGCTCTGAGAATGAGTGGCTCTCCCCTTTCACTTTACTTAAAACATCCCCGGGCTCCAAAATCTTACAGCTGGGTAATGTCTTGCTCCACTGGTGGATGGTGCTGTTAATGTCCTTCATATCGTACTCCTTAATGGTCTGAAGGTTTGAACTGGTCAACCTCTGCCACAAGTTTGTTGCCGATGTAGATTGTTCTGGTGGTGGTGGGTTTGTTGGCATTGAATGCTGGGGGGTTGTTAGAGAGTTGTGAGAGGGGGTTGGTGTTGGTGGCTGTGGTGGAGGGGATGAGTAGCGATGTCGAAGGTTGAACTCTTGTTGAGGAGGATCGCCGTTAGATTTCAAGACCCTGCCGGTCACCTCATTCAGAAACTGCGAGAACTTGCGCCTGTGCTCGGTCTTCTCTTCCCGTTTATGGTATGAGACTTTAGAAGATGTTGTTCTCAGGCTAGACGTTGACACACTTTGTGTTCCCATGTCTTTCCGCAGGGCTGTGGAAGTCCTTTCTGAATCTCCATCACTTTCAGTTTGAGCAACAGGACGTGAATATACAAGGTTTTGATAAATTATTTCAGGCTCATCCTCCTCAACAACAGACCCATGGTCAGTAGTGGAAGACTTTCCACTGGACTCCTCATTGCTATCTTTCTTAACAGGAGTTCGTAACAGGCAGGTGGCCCCTGAGCTCCAGCTGTTGGTGTCCCAGCTGCCATCATCAT